GAGTATAGCCGTTAATCACATAAACTCGATACGCGCCTCTATCGTAATTGATATAATTAATATGTATAGTACCTTTTCTCGAATAAGTCGTGCGGCTTCTTTCACCACACTTGGAAAAATACGAGTTTGTTGCGAATATTTTGAGTAGCAAGTACGGTGGCATTTATTATTTATGCATATCAATCATAGTTGCCTCTGTATTTAATGTTATAGTTCATGCACTGCCGTAGAAAGTAAAATCGAAATCAATGTAACTAGAATCATGCATACGCAATAGGATCACAAAGTGTACTCAGGTGAAATTCGCTCATAATACAAACTGTAACAATTTGTGTGCGCGTCAACTTTCGATGCTGGCCTGAAGAAAGAACATAATTTTCGTTCAAATTTCCCTCGGCGATATGAAACTACGAAAAAAATAAATTTACATGTGTAATCAATCACGACATAGTTATAGTTTTTCCACCATTTTTTCCTGCACGTTTTTCTTTTTTTTTGTTTTGTTTTTTTTTTTGCACCGTTCATATAAATCATTTCTTCTATTTTTTTTGCAAACGACATGCCAATTGAATATTTAGATGTGATGCGACACTGAAACCAAAGCTGAAGTCAAATGTGAGAATTGACGGAAAATTTATGGTATAAAATGACAAATATATCGTTGTCGTCATTTTTCTGAGTAGATGCGTGCCCAAATCCCACAACTTCTTGAGGTTTCAATTGTCACACTGAAAAAAAAAACATTCTTTCCCATTCATCAAACAGAGAGAAAAAAGAAAAGAAATGCCAAACCAGGCGAAGATGAACACGTCTCAAATGTCATCTCATTTTCTTGTTAAGTTATGATTTTCTTTCTCTCATTGTTTTGAATTGAAATTTATCTATAACATATATCTCGGCTCACTACACAATTGAATGTAATGTAATGTAACACAGCACAGAAAAAAGAGTGTATAATAAATGCTTTAAAGCGTTCATTGGGTTTATAATCGACGGGATGACACACATAGATTCCGGAGTATATTTCCTCACAGAATATTTGCTCTTTTTTCTAGTTGCTGTAATCATTTAAATGAAGTGACATTTTTAATAGTCCAACTGTCATCGGTTATGTAAATAGAACGAATGGACCATTGTACAGTGGCGATTATTTTAATTTAAAAAAAATGACAGCGGTATGTGTAGCATGACGTAAATTTTGTGTGACATCTTTTTATGCGAGCGGCAATTCTTGAATGAATTTCGTAATGCAATGTTCGTTAAGCGAAATAAAAAAATCTCGTTCTTATGCCACTTACCACTTTCTTTTTATTTGGAATGACACATTCCCCAAAATATTCCTCAAAAAAACAAAACGAAACGAGTATCACGTACCAGATTTAATTTTTATGATTAAGTCCAACAGCAGCTCGAGTCATACATTTCGCGGTTACTTGGTTAATAGCTTTGAGATATGTGTCAGTGAGAGAGAAAGATTCCTCGGCCAATTTTCAAGATAATGTTTCTATGCAAACAGGAAAGCATATCTCTTTCGCTTTATTTCAGAGTGCAATAATATGCACGCAACATTTTAGATACGTTTGCTTTTAACTCTGAACACAAACTCTCTTGTGCAATGAATTTCCGCTAATGATTTCGAAAATAGTAGTACACAAGTATGTATTTCATGTGCTTGTAAAACATACATTTCCTAGTACGTCGAAACTTTGAAGATTTCTTTTTTCTTCTGAGACAAAATCAATCATTTTTCTTTGGCATCAATGTTTTCAACACTTGATTCTTTGTGAAAAAGAAATTCACATCAAAACAAGTCAAAACATGTCTATAAGTTTGACTGTTTTTGGCTGATGAATAACCATTCTCAATCGATCCGATCACATGCGGCATGCCACATAAAGCCAATCACAACAAAAACAAAGCACAGAAGACTATCCAAATTTGCTACGAATGAATAAAATGCTAATTTATTACATACGTTGAATGACCATGACCACGACACTCCACGAGCTCCAATGAAAGAGAATCTGTTTCTTTTTTCTCTTGCCTTTGAATTGTATTGTAATCGAATTTTTATTGTGCTCAATTTTCGCATTTACTTCAAACGATAAAAGCTAAAAACACAACACACGGTGAAATGAACGACAACGACAACGATGAGCGGCAAAAAGAAATCCGTAATGCATGAAAAAGTGCGGATCAGAGGAGAAAATAACACTTACTTAAATGTAGTTTACAATATACAACGGTAATTGGACAGGTGGGTAAAGCGTATGTGCACGAACGCAGCAGCAGCAGCAGCAGCAGCAGCAGCAGCATCAACAACAACAACAACGACAGCAGCAGCACCAATGGTTTCGTTTACATTTGTGCGATTCTTACTCTATGGCGCGATGACTGTTGGTGTGAGCGAACAGATCAAAACGATCATCTCATTATTATTAGTGCCGTAAATGAGTATAATATTTGATTCCATATAACACTCTTAATGCTATTATTATTTGCCCGTGAGAATTTTGGTTCCCATCGTTCCATCTACCATTTCAATTGAAAAAGAAAATTCTTCGTTCATTCCATCATCATCGTCGTCGTCGTCGTCGTCATCGTCATCATCTCATGCCGTGGCTCATTCTTCTTGCAATTTAGCTTCGCTCTTTTATTTGAGCATATATGCCAACATGTACACAGACTCAGCGAATTATTGCGCTTGTGATCTATTGTGTTCCTTCTTCGAGTGGATTTCGTTTTTGCCAAGCTAACTCTCACCGCTCTGTAGCACCGCACTTGCGTGATTTGTCAGCAGAGAATAAAATTTTGACATTGAAAGTAATTCGGAGGGATCGCTTTTTTTCTTACTCATCATTACTGTCATCAATTTGAGATCGACATACTTTCCGTGAAATTCAAACTATCCAATTATTCTTATCAGACGGCATGATCTTATCGCCCGATAAACGAATATTTACACAATAATTATCAACCGAAATATTGTCGTGGCACATCTACTTGCCTTTGACATGAGGAAGACGACACGAAAATCCGCCAAATTCAATTAAAAATGTAACTGGATCAGTGAAATTTTTTGCTCGATTTTTTTTTCTTTCGCATGTATTCTTGTGTGTTTAAAAAAGAGTGAAACATTTTATTCACTTCGCACCAATGAGATGAAAATCATCGTTGAAGGAAGAAAGAAAGAAAGAAAGAAAGATAAAAAGTCTCACCATTTTCCATTTCTTTGTCAGTAAAAACAAGAAATGCGAAAAATACCCATCCACAGCTAGAGAAGCATAGCTTGATAAGCTTACACTTACTTTGATTAACTTGTCACCTTGATCTGCGATTATTTGCAATATTTTGTTGTCTCACATCACCAATACTCTATAGCGCGTGTTTGTGAATTCACACGCACATTCGAGCCCGAAATATAGATAAAATGTATCACACTCGAATCGAAACAGTTAGCCCATGAACATAGACGAATGTGATGATCATTGCCATTTAGATTCAAATTTTATTGATGCTTTGTGATTATTATCTGCCAGATCCGGCACGTCTGCATGCTCATAAAAATGAGCTTTGAAGCCAAAACAAAAACATCGTCCATTCTGAGACTCAAAATCTATTTGTCTCGGAATCCCATCGATTCAGATTTGGTGATCATCTTTTCCCTGCGCGAAACAAAAACACACACACTTACAAAAGTATTTGATTATTGAATGTAATGAATCAAGATGTTACCATTTTCACTTTTTATTCGATGATTCGTTTAGTTCCACAGTAAATGGGTATTTTGGCATGATTTTGTTGAAAATTCAGATTAAATTAAAATTGGGAGAAAAAGAAAGAAAGAAAGAGAATGGTTGAACTGTTGCAGTCATCAACAGAAATTGACGTTGCTGTTTCATGCCATCAATCGATAAAAATTCGACACGTCGAGCGGTGAAACTGATTCCACACAAAAAATTATTGTTTCATATGAAAATCTGAAAATATTCGTGGAAATGCAATTATGAACGCATTTAGACAATGTTTTCGCTGCGAGCAATGCAGTCGAATCGACCTAGTCTCCTACATTGAATGTGAAAAAGGTGTTTCCGTCTCTTTTTTCTATAAATAAATTTATTTATTGTTTGCTCCATAATTGAAATTAATAAAAAAAAAATTCCATGCATATTCTTTTCCATCAAGTTCACATCGACTGTCTCGCATTGACTGTATTCAGATGATGGAAACTGATATTCTCACAATAAATAATCTTCTGTGTTCGTGATGATATGTGCAGTGCACACGGTGTGTGTGTGTGTGTATGTTTTAAATTTCAATTGTGCTTATATCCGATTCTATAATGACTAGCGTCTCATCTACGTGTGATATGTACAAATGTAAATCGTTGTATGGCAAACGAAGAAAATATTTGCGCCAGCGAAAATTCAAACGAGTTTCAGCACGCGATCAAGAAATGACGTGCTTTTCTGGTTTCTCATTTTTACTTTTTGTCTCTTGCATTGGGGCAAGAATCAAGGCTGCTCGGTCTGTTTTCTTGAGCCTTATAGAAATTTTTCAAATTATTTCAATATCGAGTAAGGTGCTGCGAAGTGGGAGAAAATGAGAGTGATCAATACAGCGCTCTGAAAACTGAACGAATGACAACATTTGCAGTAATCCATTGCACTTTGTTTCAATCAGAAAATCAGACTGGTTGCTCTATTACGAGTGCCTTGTCGTTTTTATTTAGATAAAAGAAAGTATATGTTTTGATTGGAACTTGCGTTTCTGCCACTGCCAACAGTCATACTTTTTATAGAACGATCAAAATGTAGCAAAATAAAGAGATGAAATGATTTCGAATCATATAATTACCGCTAAAGACACTTGTAGAGCATGGCTGATCCGATCTTTGTCTGCTAGTTTCTCCATTCGGCACGCACAGTCATGCTTTACATCAAAGCAAACACAATCGATAATTGTATGTGTTTTTCTTCTTCTTTTATTTCAATTTGCAGATACGGAAAAACATAATTCTTCTGTTGTTATTTGCACTGCATGCTAGTGCCGATGTGTTCAAAACAAATGAAATTCCCGTTGTGCCCGCCGAAGACTTATTACCACCTCCAGAAGATCAAGAATCTATCGTCGTACGATATTCAAACGATGCATCACCAAACAAATCATTCTTTCAACGAGTCGTCACGTGGTTCGGCTTCAATGGTGAGCAACAATCACAGTCGTCAAATATAAAAAACGCGAAAAAACAATCGCAAAAACAACCATCAAAGCAAAATGGATATGTTTATGAAAATCCAGCAAAACCATTCTCGCCGCCACCACCGCAACCGCAAAAGTTTTCACAACCACCTGGTTATAATTATAATGATCCGAATAAAATCGGTTATAACTATAATGATCCTAGCAAAGTCATTCTTTCGAATGGCTTCCGATTCGAAACTCCTGTCAAACTGCAGCAGCAATCCCAAGGGTACACTTATGAACCACCGCCGCAGAAGTTAGAACTGCAACCTGAAACCGGGTACACATACGATCCACCACAGCCCGTTAAGTTCCAACAACAGCCGATTATGCACCCGCAACCGATCCTACAATTGCAGCCATCACCAACAGGCTACACATATAACACGCCGCCGCTTAAATTGCAAGAACCGCCAAAACCACAGCCAACTGGCTATAACTACGATCCACCGCCACTGAAGTTACAACAAAAACCATTGTCTTTGAATGATCTTGTATCATCAGCTGCTTCACCGACTGCCGTTTACACGTACAATGCATTGCCAAATTCATTCAGTCAGCAACAGCAAGCAACTGACTTATTTCCGTGCAACAGAATACCGTGGATGCCGGTAGGTATTTTCATGATATACAAAGTCAAATTAATTATGCCTATTTCAGTTTGCAAATCTGGCGATTCTATTCATTTTATCATATAAAAAACCACCCATTATAGATGTTCCCCAATCCCAACGAATTAAATCTTTTGCGCGCAAAACTCCAAGCGAAAAGTCCAAACTACTTGCAATCCGTTCCGGGATATCAAAATATTCAACCAATTGCCAGACCAACACCAGATAAATTCACACAACATCTCAACGCACACACTTATTTGCCACCAAGACAACGACCACTTAGACACCCTACTCAAGTTGCCACACCAAATCAAATCAATTCGATCAACTCGATTAATTCATTGCCACTCCAAAGTACCGCTCAACCATTTAGAGCACCTCCTTCAACAGTTAGTTCAACGTATTTGCCGGCACAAAGAGTTTTGCAACCAATTGAAACAACAAAACAGAATCTAGTTCCAGTTCCGGTGCCCAATCTCAGCGCCACACCAGTTCCGCCGTTGTACGATCCGAAACCATTTACGGCCAACGATGCTCAAGGTTTGTTTCCTTTTGAATAACTAAAATTGATTCTTTCTCATGCCTTTATTTAATTTTTAAAAATACATTTAAATTTCTGAGTAACAAAAATGTGGTTAATATAGGAAATGGAATTTATATCAACGGAAGGCTTGTAACGCCAACAGGCTTGTCAACGACAAGCGTGCAATCGTTGCAAATCATAAATCAAAATCATCCGGTTACCCAATCGGAGAAATTTGTTCAGCCTACGAATAGCTACGGAACACCAGTGACAGCATACGGTCCGCCTGTGACATATGGCCCTCCAACAAATACATACGGAACACCTCCAATCAAACTAACGGCCGCAGTTACAGAAAGCAGTGTGTTTGGTAGATTTACGGCGTCGCAGCCATTCACCGCACGACCAACACTATCTTCGGTTGATCAGACACGTTTGAGCTCGAATATGGAACAGAATTCCAATCTAATGGAAAAACCGATCATAATATCAGACAGTGCGGCGGATGCCAGTGAATCAACTCGTTCGCCTCAAGATGCCAATGCGATATCCGATGAAAACCAACCAATCTTACAAGTTTTACATGAGCTAAATGTCACAACAACGCCTCAAGATTTTCAATATACACCAAGCAGCACGGAGCCAAGCATATCGCTTTCATCGGCCAGTCAATTGAAGAAGAAAGAAAAAACGAGAGTGAATCCAAATAGAGAAACACCTCTCGACTTGTTGGATACACCAATTCAACATTTCCGAAAAACGTCAGTCGGCCCATCATCAACGCCAGACCCGAATAGTCTTTCCGATTTCAAATTTATGCGAAATACATGGAAACCAATGCCACCAAACCCATTTTCAAATCCATTGAATGTGGTAACAACGGCAGAGCCACAAATTTATTCGTCCGCAGTAACACCTTCAGCAGCATCGGCTGCATTCCAATCACATACAGTGCACGTTGCGAACGCGATTGAAAGTGGTAATCAAGATAATGACGGAAAGAAAACCAAGAAAATCCAAATTATTATTCCATACACGAACAAATCACGACCGAGCCCATTCCGACACAACCAAGAGCTGCAAAGTTTTGAGAGTTCGGCGGGTTGGTCAAACAGTCAACACAGTGATGATCATAATTCCGAAGAATCACAAGTCATTTCAGCAGCAACACCATCACCCAAAACAACCACCTCGCATGGAAAACGGACCAATTCACGATACTTGACCAAAATTTTGGCTAAGAATATTCGTGAGTTGCTGAAACGGGAGCATTTGAAGAATATTTCAATGATTGATCTGGCAAAATTGCAGAAGAATATTGACGGTTGGACTGAACAAGAATTTTCTATGTCACCAAATCGTGCCAGCACCATTTCCGTTGCACAGCCGAAACTCATTCCATATGAGTATTTGACAACAACACAATCACTGCAGGATATTTATACGACTGAATCAATGCAACCGACTACCGAATATCCATCCTCATTGTTCGAAGTCAGCGACAGTACGGAGAGCTTAGATGACAGTCAAGACGAAGGGGAAGTAATGGATGATGTGAGTGAGGACGAGAATGTAATCCGCGGCCCGGACAACGGTGATAATATTGATAATATTGCACCCGATGAACAAGAAGCCATTCAACAGGCGGAAGAAATCGAAGATGAAGACTTCAAACGGTTGGATTACTTAAAATCTTTAGAGAATAATCATGTGAGTGGTTCACACAAAATATTCTATGCAACAAATCCACCAGCATCGCCCCAGCCACGAACAACGAGTACAATACCACCTTGTTCAACTACAACACCAACAATCGACAACGAATCCATTGTCCACACAACTGTACTTCCGAGCGCCGAAGAGCTTTGGAACAAATTGAAATCACTTCTGTCACCAGTGACTGACAAAAACAACGAAAAAATCTATGTGGTCACTCCGCAACCATACCCTTATTTCGAAAGCGAAAAGATTGTGAATGATGATGATAATGAAGTTGTTGGTAACTTCAAGTCACCACGGTTTCTGGTTCGGCCGACGCCCGGTGCATCTATCGGCCGATCATCAAATTCGAATTCCTTTGCACGATTAACTTTCCGACCGAGAGGTAACTGATGAATACGTATTCAACATTTTGTGGCTTTTCGTTTGAGTTTTAAGTGTTTTTTAATTGAATGTTTGTTGTTGTTTTTTGTAGTGGGTCGTTTGCAAACAACAACCGTAAAAACAACATGGAATGAGCCGGCAACCGATCCAGTCACCGAAATATATCGCTCGTCAACACATAGTCATTCAGTCGTTAATGGCCACGCACATGCTCAGGTAATGAAAAATACAACAAACCCATACTACATATACGATATATTATTCATACATGTAAGAACGTATTCTAATTGAAATCTCTTTATTTTTATTTCTGATTATGAATAGGCTTTTTCATTTGTAACACCACAATCGATCGACGAGGACGGTCAAGATATTCAAGTGATCGATGACGAGGAGAATGATGATGACCTCATCGAGTCACAAGCACACAGGCGATCGCTAAACGAATATAGACACTAGACTTTAGGTTATAGAATTTAGGGAAATTTTGTCGGTAGGAACGAGAAATCTTTATATGAAAAAAATGCTATAACGAAAATCAATTAAGTCAATTGGATAATTCGTGTAAATAATTTGAACCTCAATGTTTTTAATTTTGTGAGAGATATGACAAAGCGCTGATAAGTTAACAAACAAGAAAAACAAACGGTTAAATATGTGTTAGTTCTGCCATAAATACAATATGTGAAGACAGAGAGCTCTATAATGTTGTCAGCAAATTTTCTTCTAGAATATGAATATATATCGCAATTTTGGACCACAATTTTTCAATCTTTATTTTTGGAGAAAGTTCTTTTACTGTCATATTGTAGAGAAATAGATAAAGTGAATGCAATTGGATCTATGCTACTTTTAGAATTGGATACATTTTCGTGTCCATGAAAGCGATAAAATTCGAGAGCGATATTAGTTTTATGAGATTTTAACTGTAAAATAGATTCTAAGAGAGATTCAATAAAATCGATAATCTATTTAAACAAAAATATGCTTTTCAAAGACAATGGAAGTATTGCTAGTCTTGGCATCAGTGACAGGTAAAATCTATTTTAGGCGGCTTCCAACTTACCTTTCGAAACGTGTTCATTCATGATGTTTAAATTTAGCACCGCTGCAAAATTGAGTTTGACAGATGCACCAACACATTTTCCATTTTCTGATTTGTCTTTATTGATTTTTTTCGCTTTTTTACTTATTGACAAGCAACAATACTGACTATTCATTGGGAACATAAGTAAGTGATTTCCAAACGTTACATTCATCATTATTATAATTTGTTGGTTGTTGTTTTTTGTAAGATATATTTTTATAAAAAAAAATTGTATTTTTTTTCTGTTTCAGTATGTGTATAAAGTTCGGTTAAAAAAATAAATGTGTTTACACGTACATTCGCTTTGTTTGTTTTTTTCATATTTCAATTGTTAGATTGCGTGTGTGTGTGTGTGTGTGTGTGTGTGTGTGTGTGTGTGTGTGTGTGCGTGGGCGTATTGAATGTCCTTGCTCGGTCTCGTTTTATATATAACTTGCGATTTTTTTGTTTATTTTTATTTGTCCTTTATGCGATAGATAATAAAAATTAATTCCTAATTTATTCATAATATGAGGATTGAAGAAGTATTAAGTGCAATCGGAAATAATAATTGATTTTCTAGAACAATACTTGGGAATTGATTGAGTTTCATTCTAGGGAATCAAACATAAATTAGAAATTGAGAATTAGAAAATAATTTCATCTATTGTTTTCATGTTGCTTCTGTTTTTTGTCCTTCGTTTTTATTATGATTAGAACAATCGCAACTATTTGCATTTGTTCAATTTTAAAAACATTGCAGTGGTGAAGATGGCGGCGAAAAGAATTCTAAAATCTACCTTTTTTATCTTTCTTTCTGCTTTTCAAATTTTATTTGTATTTTTGTAATAGAAATTCTTGCTGTTAGCTGAGCATGAGCACTTCAGGTATGTATCTATGTAAATGATTGTTTTTCTTTTTCAAAAAAATATTTACACCATTTTACATCTTCTGCCTGCTACTGAGTTCATTTTCAATCCATTATTCATTACAATTTTTGTTGTTGTTAAAAACCACACTTCTCTTTCTATTTTAAGTGAGTTCCCATTCGAAAATAGATGGTATCGTTACAATATTATTGTTTTTTAAAGTACACGGATCTTATGTGCCATTTATTGCGGATAAATTGTCACAATAAAATTAGAAAGCTCAGATTGCATATTTTTCGGTCGAACCTACATTTTTTGTTTATTTTTTAAATTAAATTATAATTGTTTCTTTCTCAATAAGTGTGATTTCCATATTATTTCACAAACAGAAAAACTTCCCTTTAACAAACTTATCGAATTAAGAAAAAAAATAGAAATTGGAATTAAATTAATAGGATGCAGTTAAAGTGCAAAAAAGTTTTGGCTCAATATATGTTTTGTTTTTTGTTTTTAATAATTTCTTAATCGGTTGTGTTCTACACTGCCATTATGTCGTTCAGAGTCTCCATTTTATAATTTCCATTTCTGTAAGCATTTTCTTCTTCATTTTTTGTTTTTTTTTTTATTCAATATTTCAATTTCAGTAAAAATATGTATAATTTTCCATTCTACGCTTGTATATAAAAATTGCTTCGAAATTCGTCAATTTCACAATAAAATCAATATGGAGTAAAATCACGGCGAAAATCAATGAAACGATTTTTTCTTCGGTTTTTTTATCTAAACGAGCAAATCATTCGCATTTTCCACTATAGACTTGCTAATTTGGCTATCAACTAAAATACAGTTGCTACCAATTCCGTTTTGATTGACACGGTGATTGCCACAAAACATATTACTTGTCTTTGTTTCAATCAATGGCTTTTATTCCCCTACTTTCTGATTTCACATGAATTAAATCCTTTCGTTTCTTTTTATTTTTAATTATTCGAAAATGAAAAATAAATCAAACGCTGTCAATCGGACAGAAATGCCTGCATAGAAGGTGTGATGGATGGAAAAGATATTTTGAGAAGAAATGCGCGAATTATTTATTTTATATTTAGATTGAGTCTGTGGGTCTAAATTTAATCATAACATATTTTCCGTAAATTTGTGTCCAGAGTGTGTTTGTAGTGACATTTTGACGATGATTTTCTTTCGGGAAAATAATGATACATATGTCGGAAACTCGTGTTATGGTACGCGTAGAGTTTGGTGTATGATATATTTAGATAGTAATGAGTTTTGAAGAGAAAACAAACGTTTGAAACAACTGTTCGTTAAACATATAGTATTAAGAGTTGAAGACAATTACATTATTCATTTGTTTTTCTTGTTGTTTAATTTTAAATAATATAAACATGTATATGGATATCAAAGATATATATTAGCCTTTGAATTAATAGTACATTCGAACTGAATGTTATTAATTTTAATTTTCAATAATTAAATTATCCTTTTTTTGGGATCGAAGAAATTACTCACGCCGTTATAGAATACATATAAATGGTGAGCGATTTCGGATGTCACTCGGCTTCATCAGTTTTTTTGTTGTTGTTGAGTGTTATCGATAATAATATAATTTGTTCGATTGGTGCTAGTAAAAGTCAATCATGATAGAAATCGGCACAATTCTTCCAAATCAATCGTAAATCAACAAACAATCTCCACCGAAAGTGTTACATGCGCAAGAAAAATTGCATCGATTCCCATTTTGATTTTTTTTGCTTGATAAATATTTTCGGTTTTACTATGTTTTCCATACACATTTTTGTATATCTTTTTTTGGATGTGTTTTTTTTCTTGTGGGAAGTGTTATCGAAATTGAAACGGAATAAGGATCGTTTGCGATTGAAATTTGACGATCAATACGAACTTTAATACAAATAATTAACTGTGTGTGTGAGTGTTTTTTTTTTCAAAATGATTTCATGTATATAAAGAAGTTATCCCAAATGGAGAAAAATAATTGTGTACAGCTCTATCTAGAGGTAAATTAAATCATTATAGGTATATGTTTCAAATTGATCCTTTTTTCCATTGATGATTTTTTTTATTGTAATTTCAATATTATGCGGATAATTATTACGGATTTCGTTTCAATTTTTACGCCTTCAAAAACAAAAAACTACAAACAAAACAAATAAACGCACGATTGTTATCAGTTAATAAGTTTTCCGACATCAATGTAAAAATCGTAATTACTATCAATTAGACATTTATTTACAGACATTTAAAATTTTTTGATGAAATGATATTCCAATCGCTACGAATGCTCTTCATCCGTTGAATTACGCGAATTTTCGATCTGTTTCAGCTGCTGCAGCTGCTGTGGTTGCTGATTTTGTTGCGGTTGTTGTTGTTGTTGTTGTTGTTGTTGTTGTTGCTGCTGTTGCTGCGTGGCAGGCTTCAAGTGATTGTTGGAATTACATAAAACGCTGTACACTGAATCAACTTTGCTAAGCTTCTCAAATAGTGGTATCAAATCAAGGAGTTCGGAGTCGGTGACATCGTCGAACCAAGATTTCACGGGAACGGCATTGTCTGGATGAAATATATAACTGGCTGGTGAATTGTCGACGATAACAATCTTTTGTAAATCACGTCCCAGCTTATTTAAATCTTTGACATAATTTCCGCGATGATAAACGCACGACTCCCGAAACAGTCGCGCTCGAAATACGCTACACTTGTCCAATAAATCGGCTACGGGATCAGCGTACGTCGCCAACGATGCTGTGAACAGCACGCATTCATACAGTTCACCCATTTTCTGAAGGAAAGTATCGACATGTGGCCGCTTCAATACATATACCTGATGAACGGTGCCATCGATTTCAACAGGCACAATGAAGTCGGCATTTGCAATTGGTTTGAAGCTGCTATGTACTAATGTTTCATCCAAATCGATGACCATGCACTTCTTGTGTGTGTCCGAATGTCGCACTTGTGGCAGTAAATGTTTTTGTGGTCGCTGCAATGGCGGTGGTGTTGTTGTGCCATCGATTGGCGTCCCACTTTGGCTTGACTTTGATACATTTCGGCGCCAACAACAGAATATCGATCGGATGAAACCACGATCTGGCCGTTTCAAAATGTCTATTTCGATGAAATCCTCTTTGTCGGTTGAATTTGCATTCAATTGCTCTTCTTCACGAGAAATCTGCGTTATAATAGACGTTGCGTCCATTGAAATAAGCTCAGTTGAACTGGATAAGATGTCTTTACGATATATATGAACTTGTGAATTGGGGTTTGTTTTGATTTGTTACTGTCAACTTCGTCGCTCCACCTATTCCCATGCAGTGAATGTGTTGCAAGTTCTAAATGTTTCGTCGCCGTCGTTGTTGCACGTTTCTCTCTCCCTTTTCACAATATTTCGTTTACTTTGGTCTCTTTTTCGTTCTTTGTTCGCTTGCATATGCGTCGTCTTTGTCTCGCCAATTTCTGGGCACCTGATGCTTTTGTTTACTCTTTACATCGATGTCGCACGGTAAGCGTTTCGTCGTATTACCATTTAGAATATTCGATTTTCGTACGAATGGTCAAACTGAAAAAATTATGACGTTTCTCTGTGATTTAATTGAAAAGCAATCAAAATATTAATCGAAACGAAATGAAATAAAAGAAACAAACCGAAATGCACAAAAATAATTAGAATTTATGATATTGAAAATGACCTTTAACACTACCGAAACTCGACCATTCGCACTACGAAAATTCACACTGGCTCAATATGTCTCTTACTCTCTCACACTTTGCTCGATTCTCTCAGTTGATTCGATTCACTGTGTGCTTCCTTTGGACTGCGTAGTAATCGTATATTATTGCTAATTTGTATGTATATATATGTCGATATATGTGCTTTGCTTTTGAGTAGTTTCACATTAATAACCAGTGGACTGCAAATTGTTCAAACGTTTTTGCCTCATTATTTGATTTCGTTTCGAGTCCCATTTAACGTTTCACATTAAACTCTTCGTGTGCGCCTTAGTTCTGTGTGTATTATTACTCTTTTTTCTTCTCTATTTTTTATTTTATCTTGTCTTGACTTTTCCACGAACCTCCAAATTAAAACAATCAGATGATGACATAAACCATTTTCGATAATGAATTCCAATCGTACACAATCTCAATTTCACTTTGCTTTATACGATGTAGTTATGTAGGCATAGGCGCGTATTGTTTTTCTCTCTCTCTTTTATTCGTCAATTGTTTTTGTATGTTTCAATGCCTATGATTTGTTCCAATTCCAGTGTTCGCTTTGCCAAAATCAAACCATTTATACTTTTATTCACTCGCATATTTTTTCGTTTTGGGTCCGAATGTGTGTAAATTTGCTGTATATATTTAACATTTTTATTCTTCTCTCAATTTGAGTTTTTTTTTCTCCGTACGTTCGTCTCTGTTGACACGCACACACACAAATGCTATTTATATGCACACAACCACACGTTGGTTGATGCTAAATTTATGATTGAGTAAAATCGTATCTAATTTAAAATGTGCACCACAATATACTTTGGGAACAACAACTTTAGCTCGATTTGTCTCATTTCATGCAACCAGCCAGTATTTACTATTTATTGCTTTTATTAACGACACACACATATACACCAGACCAAAAAAATATCGACGAACAAAAAAAATTGAATTTTTTTTCTCTCTTTTTAGAGATTCTTTCGATACATTTGCTGTTTCTTTGATATGAACGTGTAAAATTTTATGCTTAATTTCACTTTCGCGATACTATTTTGGCTTTCAAGTGGCTTCTCAACATTTGAACTCAAAAATGAAGAGACGAGCGAAAATAAAAGCAAATGAAAAAATGGCTTATAAAATATTTTTGTTATATATATCGTGCTGTCAACTTGCCAATTATAGTTGCTGTCAACTTGCGTAGTCTGCACCCTATTGGCAAAAATGGTGAATGGGCGCGGCGCAGATGTTAATAGGTTCATAATTTATAACGAACCTATTAGCAAAATTCAAAATGGTCCACAGATAAATCAAAATAATGCAATTAAAACGATTTAAGCCCATTTTGTGTTAAACCGTTTATTTATTTTTTTCTATTTTGAATTTGGTTTTCTCAGAATTTTAGGGTGTTTTACGAAATGAGCTATACGTGATTCATTCCATTATAACAGCTTACAGCTCACGCCACTCGTATACGCAAACTATTCATTATGGCTTAGTATGGGTTTATCGCGAGAGATGGCGCTACAAGAAGCAATTGGTAAATTGACAATATTTTCAAATGGCTTCGTTTGAAATTTAAATAAACACCACTCGACTCTACTGCAGCACGAAATCCGGAACCGATTGTGTGTAGAAAGAATGTATTCTTCTACTCAATTCAGCACCAATCTTGCGTGATGAAATCAATGGTCCACCTGACCTTCGAATGGGTATTTCAGCCAGAAGTAAAGGCCCGTTTTCATTGTTCGATTGATATGCCTATGAAAAATTAAAATACATGTTATCAAAAAGATGACGACGACGAGAAACTCGTTTACAAACTTGGATCAGCTTGGATAATGTTGGATACTCTTTAATTATCGCTTCTGCAGTATCTAATGTCACCGATGGAAATTTACACAGATGATTCTTGAACAAATTCGTCAGTCCAATGTTATCCTTAACCTGAACGCAATCTTTGTTGTCATTAGCCAAGTAAAAGTTTTGATCAGATATTTTTTCATCACGATCCTTCCTGCAATCAACAACAACAAAATATCGGTATATAATTGTCCCCTAAGACACCGCTTCAATGCAAGTATCTACTTGTATAACTTTTCGGCAACACTTTTGTTGAACTGCAAAAATACTTGAGCCACATCTTCAGCTGTATCCAAAAGCCGGTGACTAATATTATAAACCAATTGCAATTCGGTCAGTGCTGTTTCAAAGGCAAATCGGCCGGCATTTGCTCGATTGTTGCGGCAATATTCTTTCAAACCAAAAATCACTAAAGATAATTCTTTGTCCGGATAGTGACTTTTTATTGTTACGATTCGATGTCTGAGTTTATTACTAGTGATATACGAGTTTAGCTCGACAGCTGTCATCACATGTAGCAAAATGTTTTCATCTTGATATTTTTCGTCCAAGCACATCTGAAACAATTAAGTTACATACATAGATACATTTCAAATAGATCTTATTTCAAAAATAAAACACTAACTTCATTGTTTGTACCCCTTAAAGTCTGCTGGATAGAGCGCTGCCAAAAAATGGTTCTTGGAATTGGTGAATTGACAAGCTTATAGGCGACGTTTGCCGTGGCTAGAATTTTGGAGCCAATCGATTCATTTGTTAGGTTCTCATCGATAATGGCTTGAATATACTGGAATACAAACAAAAAATATTGTGAAATAGTTGATTGAAAATCATATGTCAATTTCTACTACCTTCATACATTCACCAGGTTTCTTACGTTTTTCCGCTTCTTGTATGGCTTTTCTTTCCAGACGATGTAGATTTTTGTCTGCTTTTGCATCCATATTGATGGCAATTGAATAATTAAATAGTTAATTATCAGGTAAAATTATTCGTAAAGTCAAGAGAAGAACTGTGCGATTTGTTTACATAGTTTGATTTAAATGTTTGACAGCTTGCAAATCAGAACAAGAGCTCCATCTACGAATAGGTATATATTTTGTTTGATGTTGGTCGAACAAACTTCACTTAATTCAAAATAGTCATTCATTTCATCTATGTTTGTTGTTTCTTCAATTCTTAAGACATACGGCAGACTCATCAAAATAAATAAAAAGCAAAAATTGGCTAGTTTGAGAGAATGTTTATTTATTATAATGAAACGTACGGAGCCACTTTTGGAATAGAAAAATTAAACTCTCATTTCTTACTAAAGTCAACAATATCTCATGATATGATATTTTTCACAGCTCTTTACAAAATTTCCTATGTTTCAAGCGAAACAAAATTAAATGAATGTTATTGTTCGGCCATTTCAACATCTTCATCGTCTGAGTTGCATTCTTCAAACTGTGCTGAAAAGGAACTTGGCTGACGCTTTAAAAGCTGCAAAAATTGGAAAGTTCAGATTTATAGCGATGAAATCAAAAATGGCAATTTAAGTTCTGTTTAATATTTACCTGAGCAACATATTCAAGGCAATCTCTCTTCTTGAATTCTAAGTCCGCACGATGACCCCAACTGTATTGAAACCTATTCCAAGAAAGACACAAAATTACAATAAATCCCTATTCGCTTCTATGTCTCATACCAATGAAAAATGACAAAATATTGTACATACCGTTCTTCTATGTTACCAGCTTCCATTTCGATTTTTTCCTTTTTCAAGAACAGTTGCTTGACGAATGTTTCGGTGATGGTCTTTTTGAAGTGGCCAAAATACTCGTGTGGCTCATCTTCAATGTGCAGCTTCTTCAAGAATCCAAACAAAACGGGTTCAATGACTTTGCCGCCCTTCATGAAAATGTACGATAGCACGATAAACAGCAATCGATTGTCTTCCCGTTGACGCACTGTCCATTCAAATTCAGAGCCCGGTGCAAATTCGGATGTCACCAAATAGAATTTGCCGGTTTTTTCTTTGACTTCGTTGAACTGCAAACCGTAAACCTATTTCAAAAATTAATTCAATTCCCAACTAGAATGTAATTTAAAATGTAAAAAAAATTGTTGAGAACTTACATCGCTCAAAATTTCTTGAACATGAGGTAGCAATTGTAGAAACATCTTTTGTTCGCCCCGCAGACATTGCTTGACGATGTCGATACTTTTGATTGGCGTTTTCTTCGTCGACACATTTAAAATGTACCGAATCATGGAGTTTTTCATCGACTTAAGCTCACCTTGTTGAGCCTGCAATCGTGGTGCTGCAACCATTTTCCAAAATTCGTTCGATTTCCTTTAAATTGAATGATGTGGTGCAATTTAAACTTATTTGAAGCGCGAAATCAAATGACACATGATACAAACTATAGCAACACAAACCAAAAGTACTGCAATAACAGCTATATTTTTATGGACACAGGGCTATCAAACTGTTCATTGTCGCTGAAAAACTGAAAAATGGAAATAAAATGATGTAAACAGAAACTCTTGGAAATAATTGTGTATTTTCATTATGGAACAAAATTATCGTTAAATATATGACTTTTTGCGGTGAAGTAAATATGAAATGAAAAATAAAATGCTTTAAAACCCATACTCACATCAGACAAGTGAATTGGATAGCCCTCTGACGGGAATGTTGCCATATGCGATGTTTATGAAATGTCTGTGCAGTGAAAATTCTACACCTAAACAAAACAACCAATACAAATCATGTAAGATCATCATACATCAATGAGCTTAACAAATTAAAACATTCTTCATTATTGTTTTGCTTTTCCCATCTGATTCGTCAAGAGTTTGTGCTGTAAGTCGAAAGTAGTGGATACATATTTTTTTCGTTGTACGTTTTACTTGTTTTATGCAAAGTACCTAATTAATTATTTGCAATTGTTTTTGAACATAATTTTAATGCTGTACAATTGAAATTATAGATGATACTTTTTTTTCACTGAAATTTCTCGATAGAGAGTTTAGTTGGTCTATTATGTTCATTGTGTCATCATTTGTGTGAGCTTCAGTGAGTGAGTGATTTTTTTATTTGCTTTATTCAATTTAGAAATTCCAATACAATGAATGTATTTTTGTCGATGATGTGACATGATCTTTAGCCCCATTTATCAATTATTGTTTCTAATCGAGTCACTTTGATCATGTTTCATTTTTTTTGTATATGTTTTGATAATTTACAGGAGTGTTCAGTCTGAGTGATACGGTGCCGTGGATTAATGGAGGTTGATTACTACGTGTTTTTGTGATAACCGTGCATGTGATTCATCGCGCCCATATAATATATAATATATTGACGTAAATGTCTGGTTGGAAAGTGTCATAGTAAATAGTGTGTATCATCGATTTGCAGAGGTGGCGAAAACACCATTACCTGGACTTTGATTGTTTTTTTTTTAATTTGCTTTTGATTTTAAAACTACGTGCAAATTTTGAATCGATTGGAGATGTGGAGCCCAACACATATTCAAGTCACAGGTATTCACCGTAATTCTATTAGAATGAGAATGTCGTCGTGTCACAATCGAATAAGACTGTCCAAATCTGTGCGCATATTTTCAATAGGATGGCAATTCAAAAGAGAATCACAAACATTTTTGTATCTACATCAATGAATAAAAACACATTCAGCGACCTATTTTCCGCTTATTCATTTTAAATGTGCCTATAAAAAGAGATCATGCGCTACAGCAAGCACCATTCATTTTATTTTTTGATCGTGTTTTTGTTCTACTTAAATCGTTAAGAGTTGCTGCTATTCTCGGGATAGTTCCGTTATAAATGAATAACATACAATACACGGCACAAACCGTGCGGTAAGACTAAATTTCATTAGTAATGTGTGCGATCTGTCCATTTCGATGCGATTACTCATTGTTTTCTTCATGAAAGTAAAAAGAATTGGTTCCATTGAGATTTCACGATAAAACGTACTATACACAGCACACAACAAAGAAACGAATGGATAGAGAGGAAGAGATGAAGAAAAATTACGAAAATTACACCGAGAACAATTCACACATAAATATGCAAATAACGTAACACAAGCAGATTTGACATGTGTATCTTCACTGAATATTTTATTAAATTGAATTTTAAAAAAAATGCTAAGAATTTTTTGTTGTTGTTGAATATCTTTTTCTTATAGTTCTGAATGCCAAAGGAGTGTTGACGAAAGGCAAAAATGGCACGAACAACTGTTTCGTCACAATTGCATTGGGGAAAGAAAAGTACCAAACATCGATCAAAGAAAAAGCAACACAAAACGTTGAATGGCGAGAAGAGTGCGAATTGTATGTAAATTTTTCTATTGGTATTCATTGAACACTGCGCTTATAATAATAACTTCACTGTTTGAACTCATTATTGTAGAACAATTCCGGAGCGTGGTAACCGTGCAGAGTTGATTTTAACATGTTTGCATCGGAATAATTTGGGCATGGATGAGTTCCTGGGCCAAGTTACACTACCACTCAATGAGATGGATGCTTATGAACGACCACGAGCACGTTGGTACAAATTACAAAGCAAACCGGGAAAAGAGAAGAAGCACAAGGACCGCGGTGAATTGGAAGCGCGAGTTGCATTCACCGTTAAGGCTGGGTCATTGACCGACTTAAGCAAAAAGGAAAAGAACAAATCGTCAACTCTAGGATTGGGCGGTAGTTTGTTAAGTTTAAATACACTGGAGAAGCGGAAGAGTTTGAAAAAATTCGCTAAATCGATTGGCTCGAAAATGCACATCACTGGCAAGAAGAAAGACAAGGACACCGATTCCATTTCAAGCAGCATATCGAGTCTGAGTATGACGGGAAGTAATCGATTTGATGATAGACGCTTCGAAGGTACTCAAGCGCGTGGCGATGCCGATCCAGGTGTTATTAGCGAAGATGAAGACGAGTTTGCTTTTGATAATCTATCGAATAAAAGTTCAGCTAGTTCAATCAATTTGAAATCAAAGACACTACAAAGCACACCATTAGCTCCATCGCCACTCGTTCGGCAATCATATTCATTTGCAAACGTAAATACGGCCGTCGAAGACGAGCCACCAAAAATCACTGAAACACCACAAAAACCAGAGGTTCCAAAACGACAATCGCTTGCAGTTGATGAATGGGAAGCAAAATTATATGGCAAAAATGTGGGCGCCATGTCAGACTCGCTGAAACGTAGATCATGGGAACCGCAAAAACGCGTCGAACAGTCAAATCCATTTGAAGAAGATCAACAAGAAGCCAAACAACAAGCACCGCACTCGAATCCATTTGATGAAGAAGTTCGAAGCAATCCATTTGAAGAAACATCACATGACGATATTATTGAAAATGTAGCGGATAAAATGCCGGAAAATACATACGAATTATCGTCGACTTTGCCACGCGAAACAGCACACAAGGAAAAGAAAGAAAAATCAGAAAAACGTTTCGCCAACAAATTAAAATACTTCCGAAAAGACAAGCATAATGATACTGATGACAGCCATTCGAACAAAAACACACCAAATCAACAACAACGCCAATTCAGCGAGCGAATTATCATTGGGCACGAAAATGACATTCTTGGTCATAAATCCGTTGAAGTGCCGCCGGTATTGATGAAAAAGTATGAGGGGAAATCAAGAGAAGTGAGTTTGATTCGACATTCTATTTTATGTTTTCTTCTTTTTTTCTACCGCCGAAAAAATACCAAGAATTTATTTTGCACTTGTGTTTTATTCAGGAAATGATTTTACTAGCAAATACTTTGGAAAACGAGGTAAAACTACAAAAAAACAAAATGAAAGAGATGGAAGACTATCTAGATAATTTGTTGTTACGTGTCATGGAAACGCATCCGAAAATTTTACAAAATCCATACCGCACGCAATCATCAGTCAAAAGGTAGTATTAGTCGAGAGATGATGTATACATTTTTTTTTACATTTTTAAGTTTTTTTCTAATTTTGTTGATTTAGTTTTTGTTTTTATTTTTCATCAATAATTTTAATTGGTCATTATTAACGACAATTGTTTCAGAAACTAAGGTTCATTGAACTATCTTTCTTTGCAGTGGTTGAAGAGTCATCAATAGTAGAAAAATGTCGAACAAAAATTTCCCGATTACACATTTATCCTCGTGGAATAGATGCCGACAGGAACAAGATTGCATGGAATTATCGAACTAATTTTTACACATTTGTTTTAATCCGAGTGGCCTTTTCACTATGAAATTAATTGTTGAATTTTGCTATTTTATAATGTTATTAGCTAGCTGTGGAATAAACTAAAATCACTGAACTAATTTTTCTGAAATTCGAACAAATCAACGGAATCAAAATCACCATTCACTATGAAGTTGCCTTAATATTTTGGATTAAAACTACGATTGAACAAAATCAATACTATTCGAGAAATAATAATATATTTTTTAGAAAAATCCCCTCTTTAGCCCAATTCTTATGTATGTAGATATTTCGTAATTTATTAAAAAGAGAACTCCACATTGTGCATTCGGTTTTATTTATCGATATTAATCTCTTGGTTATAAGCAAACATATTATGAACATATCTAATCATTACTTTTTTATTTGTATCATATCTCTAAGAGCTTCGAACGAACGGTGAAGAATAGAACAACATGAGACAAAGGAAAATTCACATTCCATTTCAAATAAATTTACTAAATTATTTGAAGTTAATTTTATGGGCATATTTTGAAATAAAGGATTTTTTCCACGAATATTATTTTTGTTCAATTGACACTTACACATCACATGGGCCATCACGCAGAAGATTCAAAATATAATTCTGATAAAGCCAATTTGAACACACAAATGGACGTTGCGGCGAGTGAATGGACATTAAAATGAGCAAATAAAAATTTATAACATTTTAGGCCGATGATGGATTAATATTAAAATAACAAGTGCATGAGTTAATAAAATCAAAGACTGGATGAGTCTTTTTGAAGAAAACCAAATGATGATATAGGTTCTTTGTTGGGATTATGGTAAGAATTTCAGAAAAAACTTTTTTTTAGATATTGGATGGGAGCACATTAAATTCTTGGTACGCTTCTTCTTCAGGAAATTATATGCACCTCACACACATAAACAATCACAAGCCATGCCGTATCAAATATTTTCCAATTCATCCCCTGAACTCAAATCGTAAAAATCCAGCAATTTTGTAGCTGTAGGCATTCCCTACGTTTGGTCGTAATGATTTTTTGTTATCATGAAAACTCGTTTTGCAGCGTCAAAATGAAATAAAGTTAACGGAATCGAAAAATGGCGAACAAAGAGCGAGCCAAATAAGCAAATATTTGCTATGAAATTTCCAAAGTTTATGGCCCGCACTGAACGTGTGTTGTTAGTTTATATTGTGCTTATCAGCGACATGTTTTGGCACAGTTATAGCTGTTAGACGAAAGCGATTATATTTTGAGCAAAGCGCGCTCAAGTTAAGAATCTCAATAAAATGGGAAACACGACAAACCACTTGAATAAATGAAAATGAACACATAAAATTTTCTAATCGAAATTTCTGTTTTATCGCTTGAGACCACGCCAAAGAGAAGGACACGAAAGCAGCCATTTTATGGCTGAATATCGAATGAGACAATAATTTATTGGAAAAAAGTGTATCTCGACTCGTTGACAATAAAAATGTGGACCGGGTGTTTGGTGTGGCTAGATTACACAAGAAGCCGTTTCTCAATCACATTTTGTGGATAAATTGACAGAGGAAGTCTCTCCCTTTTGACGCAGATGCTATTGTTTGCCGAATTGAGAGTGTATAATAATGGCTTTGCGAGGAATATCGACTCTACGTTGCATCCCATTCAAAGATGGCGTACAATTTAATTTACTAAATCAACAATAAAATTGCACTCGGACTAATAAACCTCAATGGCTGATTCAGTTTCCGAGCTAAAAGTTATTGCCAGCATTCATTGAAGTTGATTTACTTTTGCCATGTTTCACTTCGTGCATACAACCAATCGCAGAATATTTTATTTCATCGGAAAGATGATTCATTTTAGGGTAATGAACCGAAATTGGCAAGTCTCTTGAATATTTAATTGGAGCTATAAATTCGAGAAAATAAATTCAAAAGAGCTTGTTTGTTCGTCCCAGAACAATTGATTTACAACTTGAACAAAATTACGCTAAAAAAATCGATTGAAGCAAAAAAAAATTGTGTGTGTTAGAAAGAATGGGTTTGCTTCTGTTTCAATGGTAAATATATGCAGCTCCATGGTTGCATGACTTGAATAGATCGAAAACAAAAATATTTATTGCATCCAAAATGTTCATTCTGAGAAAATCGTAATAAAACACGTTGCATCGAAACAAACAAAGAACTAGAACAACGGCCAATGCGAACCAAATTTTCGATCCGATGTTACGCTCCACGGGACAAGAACTGAATACACTTCGGAAATCAATGTAAGTAAGCCGCTTTTGACCGCATAAAAATATTTGTATTTTCAGTTTAGTTGCACTTTTCAGAGATGTTTTTGTTGTTATGAAAGAAAAATCGAACAGAAGGCCAAGGATTTTATGACTGGATCATAAAACCACAGTTGCTCTGAGTCAAATATGTACAGAAATTCACTTTCGGTTGTGTTCTATTCATCAGTCATGTGTGATTTATTTCGTTCGTCTTTCGATTGTTTCAATGTCAAGGAATGCAAGACAAGCGAAACGAATGCCATGAAAACCGAACAAAAGAGGAAAAAGTGTTAAATTTCGGATGAAGCTCTCGGTTTGATATTTATGCTGTTTGCTGATATGCGGCACGCATTTTCAAATCGACCGAAAGCAATGTTTTCATTCTGTCGACGGTCTCGTTGGAACGGAAACTAACGATTAAATCTTCCGATTTAGTCAAGTTGATAACACGTTTTTTTTCTTTGAAGATGACTGCAATCCAATTTTTTTCAAAATTTCGCTTCCCCATGAAAACTCACACTAAATCACCAGACGAGCACCGAAAAAATGTATTTAGAATGTTTAAATCGGATGTGATGCAAACTGTTTACCAAAACTCCGTCAATCAATGCCGCCGCTCTGTACAAAATCTCTGACAATGACAGAAATCACCGCGTCTTTTTTTTCGTTGTGTGTGAATTGGTAACAAAAAGAAGAAAAAAGTTTACGGCTTTTTATTTGTGACAAATAAATATTGTGTTATCCAGTTGTCGTCTAAAGTGTGAATTAATAGATAAATACAATGTTAACTCTTTGTTTGGAAACGACGCAGTGTTTCTGTTAATTTTGAATCGTCTAAACTTTCGTTGAGTGCCGTCGCTGATTTCGAACATGATAAAATTGAACCTTTTAATATTCAAGACAATAAATAACAACATTGTTCTCAATCCTAATCGAAAATCGAACCCATGAGTTGTGATAAAGCACATTGGTGCGGCATCATGTTTACATCACGGCATTTGGTCGCGACACACATCTGTATCATTGGAAATTTGATGGAACAGTTCATATTTCACAGTTGAGTGAAGCAACTCAAGTTGAAATAAGGTACAGAACATCACTGAAGGTCTTTACATGTGGAATTATTTGTTTCATTTCAATATTGTGAGTGTGTGTGGCATATAGTAGTAACAATCGAAAATTTAAAGAGAACATTTTGCAATTCGATAAAAATTGAACAAAATAGAATTGTTTTCACTTGACTTATTCACCCGTGTAAAAAAAAGCCATTTCCGCAAACCACGCCGTATTTCTCTCATCAGTCAACTACATTTTCTGCGCAATTTCATAAAAAGTTTTGCTACATTGTGTCTAATGTTGAATGTGTCGTACGTGAACTTTTCTAATATAAATTTAACAACTCCAACCAACATTATTTTGTGATCACAATGTAACAAACTTCCGTTATTCGCGCAGAACTCACATCGAATTTTAATGTCATGAGATAAAAGATTATTGTTGCACGGGTCCATAAACGATGTCAATCAAATTCATTGCGTCGAATTAAAAACGAAAGTAAGAATGAAATTTCAAGTGAAGAAGCCGCCGGCCGCAGAACCACAGTCAAAGAGTACTTTGATCTAATTCTGGCGGGAGACACATTTCGACATTGGCCGAAAACCGTATGAGTACCGTAATTTTGGAAGCGATGAAACAAGTGGTCGAAATTATTTTCAACTCACAACACTTGGTCTCTTGAAAAATAAAAAGAAAAGGATATATAAAACGGTTTTATCTTTATGTTCCGCTCGTTTCACATCTCACACGCATTAAATACCATAACAAGTGATGTGTGTTTGATAATTTGTGTAGTTTTAATGGTCAATAAATAATTTCAAATGCTTCCGTTTTGCCTTGTGTTCATTTTTAATGTGGAAGCATTAAAAAATGTGTTAAAAATTGTCCACACTGTTGGAAACGAAATGGTTGCCACTGCTGCTACTGCAGAGAGCAATGTACAGAAACTATTCACAGTTGTTTATTTATTTTGAGCCCTCATTTAGACTGGACCAATTCCGTATCATAGACATTTATTTGAGTCTGTGGCACATTTCAAGCCTTTCGCTCTTCTTAATTGTATTTTGAGTAGATTTGACAACGTACAGGAGCTGCTGCTTTCGACATCTGTTCTCATGGCCATTAAGTTATTCACACATTCGCTCTCTTGAAACAAACAAGACTTTTTTCAACTATTCTCAAAATGGGTAATATCATTCTAGCGTTTTTACATTGTTGTTCCTAATCAGACCTACCACATATTCCAATATGATCATTAAAATTGTTCAACTGCTGACATTTCGAATCGAAAAAGATTCGTTTACTGATAATAACTTATCGAAAAAAATATTTTCCTGGCGAATTAGCGTTTAAAAATCCAGATTTTTTGTGAAGCGTCTGCAAGATGGTGTCTTGAAATTTAAAATCATTTCTATTTTTGGCATCCTAAGGGCGTCTCCGATGATTGTATGGAAAGATAAACGATTCATAGTGTATGTGTGTGTGGGAATTGTATTTGATTACTTGTAAAGAAGATCTTCTTTTCAAAATGATTCGATTGTTCGTGCTGCATCCAATGAGTCGAGATTTCCTGTGCATTGAACAAATGGTTGATAGAGGATGAGCAAAACAGACTAAAAAAGACAGTTTTACGATGCACAATATTCCTTACTCCAGTTTCTTATTCAGCGAATGATTTATATTCATTTGAAAAACGTTCCCATTCGTTTGTGTGAGATTTTTTTTTCCTATGTCGCTTATATATTTGAGAACGTCTAGCTACGATAAATGTAGGTAATATTTATTTGTATACAATGTAGAATCATTGTGTAAATACAAACTTTATATAGAAGGTTTTTGTTTTGTATGAGCGCTCACTACGGCGCATACTCGAAACAAAGCCACATTTTTCATGTTCGGTTTTATTTTATTTTCGGCGGCGTGTCGCATGATTTTTCCTTATCTATCACCAATTCTTTGATCGAGCTTGTAGCAACCGTACTGTTTCCTCGGTATTCGTTTCGAAATTCGTCATAACGGACGAAGATTTGTCAGCCACATCGAACAGTTAAGTGCAAGCTTTTGTGGGAAAAAGTCGACAATTTTTTTTTTCATCATTCATCAAATTCACATACAAACCTCCATTGAATTGTAAGAATATCATCATTAACTTGATAACTTCTCAACTCATTTTTGCTAAACGATTCGCTAAATAGTAATCATCTACAAATGAACTAATTAAATCATT